AGATGACCACTGACCTTCTGCAGACGACTGTACCACTCAGACTCATCCTTACGTCGTTTTCCCCCACCTCCTCCTGACGCCCCACCTCCTCCTGACGCCCCACCTCCTCCTGACGCCCCTTCCCCTCCACTTGACCGTCCTGAAACAGGTCAATGACATGTAACAGTCTGTGGACGTCAGTGAGAAACAGGTTCCCAGTCATTAGCAGCAGATCTCTGTTCTTCTTCTGTCTAGTCCAAGTCTAAGCATTAAACATCAGGTGTCATTAAACACCAGCAGGTGTCAGTATTTGTCACATAATTATACCTTTCGTGTCTGGATCAGCCTTGGAATTATTTGAACCTTTCTTCGTGTCTGGGAAATATTTCTCAAAACCTTCAAAACAAAACATGTGAATGTAGTTGCACTGTGACATCATGTGACATCGTGTGACGTACAAACGTCATATAATACCTTTTGGAGGTCTGGAGGTCAGCAACGGACATCCTCCATAAAGTTTGTTCAGTAGGCTCCACCCACTTTCTACTCGTCCAGTCACGGAGCAGGAAACCTGACCAACAAACATGACAGTTGATTGGTGCACATGTCTGTGGAACAACTGTAGACATGATCACGATGATGTGCAAAGAATAGGATTGACAGCTGCGGTTGACAGCAAACAGCGCCACCTGCTGTCTCTTCTAATGGGCCAATCAGAGAAGCAAGGTGATAGTGACTCCAACTCTTACATCCTTCCTTTTTGTTAGATTTTTTTTACATTTTATTCTGGTTATGACCAGACATAAAATACATTAAAGGTTTAAATGATCTTTGTTGTGTGTTTGACACATTGTTCCTGTCGTCCTTCATCATGTACTGACGGATAGCCATTTAAAATGTACCAAAGACACTACAGCAGGTGAACATCTTCTCTGGACTGGCTGAAGGTCAGAGCTAGGTAGACACAACTGTTGCTAACATGCTATTGATTCACGACTCCATTGATGATGATCATTATTAAATCTACGTCACATTTTGCAATAAGCACAAATTATTCTAGAACGATCTATTTTGAGGGATTACATTTAGCTCGGTGTATATGATATCTTCACATGAAAACCAAATACGAATGTGCGTCTCCAAACGTTTACATATCTGACATCAGGATGACGTCAGAGTAAGAGACGCACTCGAAGTGTGACCGTAACCGTGTGGTAAGAGGTAAGCGACCCCTGCCGGTTAACGGACTCTCTGCCCTGACTGGTAGCAATGTTGTCTCAGTTAGCATGTTAGCTCTGGTCCACTTACCAGTCTCAGTCGGGTGGTGTTGCTTATTTGCGGCCGCATCATCTTCCTGCAGCCCGTGTACATCCGTAAGTATCGGTGAGCCATTCTGTCCCAGTCCGACTGATTCGCACCGAGCAGCGACCTTAAACACGGGAGCAGTCCGCTGTTTGTGTCCTGTCACTGAGCGCAGCCACCATTGTTACTCTTCTTCACCTCTGCTGAACACAGGCCTGAATAGGCTACTGCGCCCCCTGGCGGCCAAAACCAGGTAGGAGATAAAGAGAAGGAGTGGCTCAGGTATTCAGCCCCTCGGAGTCTAATGACGCTGGAGGTCAGGGGTCAAATAAATACACTGAACATTTCTTCATCTCTGTTATCATGATGACAGATTCGTGTAGGAAATCCAGGCCAATCCTGCAGATTAGACCATGGTGAACTTCATTGACCCCACACTGGGGCCCCAAACAGTTGAACAGATCATCAGGACCAGTCCTGGTTAAGGTTAGTGGTGGCAAGTCTGGGTCTGGAAGGTTTCAGGTTCAAGTCCACCAAGTTACCATGGCCAAACTACATGTCATCAACCCCACACACTGCTCCCTGGGCACAGTATACACACAGTGTGTGTGTGTGTGTGTTGGTAAAAAGTGAAGGCAGCTCTCAGGTGTTGATAAGGTGTGTGTGTGTTCAGGGTGTGGTGCTGTTGACGAGGTTGCAGCAACAGACGGGGTGTGTTTGTGTCTGTGTGTTGTAGCCTGTGGCAGTGTATTTGTTCAGAGGGAAAGTGTGTGTGTGTGTGTGTGTGTGTGTGGTACCGTGTAACCAGGTACTGATGGGGTGTGTGTAATGGGTAATACATTTATACATTTGTGAGTCAGTGTGTGTGTGTGTGTGTGTGTGTGTGTGTGTAATCCAGGGTGTGTCCCACCTGAGGACACAGAGAAATATGTGAAGAACCACAGACCTGCAGCACAGACTGACTGACTTTGGATTTACATTAGAAAAGCATTGCACTTGACCACTTGACCACATGACCACGTGATCACATGATCACGTGATCACATGATCACGTGACCACGCCAATGTTTTACACAGACTTAATAACCCAACTGTTATAATCGGACTCCTGACCAGCAGTTAGGAAACAAGTGCAGGAGTGAGAGGAGGACAGGAGGAGGACAGGAGGAGGACAGGAGGAGGACAGGAGGAGGACAGGAGGAGGACAGGAGGAGGACAGGAGGAGGACAGGGGGCGCTCTCTGAAGAGACGAGTCTTCAGGCAGGAACGCCCCTGTTCTGTATACTATAGTATAATAGTTAACAACCCTAACGACTTTAACTACCCCACCAAACCATGACTCTGATCTACAACGCTGAAGGTCAACTCTACCCCCCGTAACCCCCCCGTAACCTTCCTTACCTTCCCACAACCCCTTCCACATTCTCCCCCAACCTAGAACCCAATAGTCCGGACCACAGCCCGTCCTACACCTTGTCCACTTTACCCCAGCTGACCCTAACCCTCCAGACTTGGTGTGACTTTTTTCCACTTCCTGTTTCCTGTGAAACGTCTTTGTTTCATAAAAATGTCAATGTGATGGAAGAGTCCAGAACAACGCCCAGACTGTGCACAAACCATTACTCACATACAGTCAGAGGATATGATGACAGCTGTGTGTGTGTGTGTGTGTGTGTGCAGCATGTTCAGACCTGCAGCACACAGCAGGTAAAGTCCACACACACACACACACACACACGCATACGCACTCAGAGCTGTAAAGAAGAAGTTGGAAAGAAGTTGGACTCTCTGTTCTGGACTCTGTGTTGGACTCTCTGTTCTGGACTCTGTGTTGGACTCTCTGTTCTGGACATGGACTTCCTGGGTCTGTGTGTCCTCCTGACAGCGGTGTGTGGACTCCGGGCCACTCGACACATTTCTCCCGGTGAGTGTTTGTTGTTGAAAACTCTTCTTCCACTTTCCTCTCTCTGGACTTCGTACTCCTTATTCTTCCAAACCTGTTTTTTCCAGTTCTTCCTGAACACCAGTCTGTGGTTGAGGCTGAACTTTGGGGTTGTGGGTTAGATTCTTCACATTTGGTTCTCAAACCTCCCAGAGAAGAAGAACCTAGTGCTGCAAACAATTAGAGCACACCGTCAACAAAGAGGCTTCAGAGAGAGTTAGGCACTAACCCTAACCCTAACCTTAAAGGTCCTTAAAGGGCCGTGACACACCATCAGTCGGTTGTCGGTCTGAAACCAGCAGCTGTTGGTCCACTGCTGCCTGCGGTGGTCAGTTTATGTCACTGTAGTAAAAGCAAATGAATGACTTTTCAGAACGTTATAAAAACACATGGACAGTTGAACTAAGTCTCCTAAAAGACAGACTTCTCTTCCTCTGCTCCTGCAGATGGTGTTCGTTGTCAGTGTAACGGCAGATCTCGTTACTGTTTGTGGGATGATAAGGGTCTGCACTGTGTCGACTGTCAGGGAAACACCGAGGGACGGCACTGTGAGAGCTGTAAGGCTGGCTTCTACCAGCAGGTGGCGGGACAGAGCTGTGTTCCTTGTAGCTGCGACCCCACAGGTGAGACAAGCCAACATGGCTGACCTCGAAGTTTCCCTTCAGTTGCTACCTTTTTGTTGGATCTTGTTTCTCTTTTAGGTTCTGTCAGTAACACATGTGACAGCAGGGGGCGCTGCAGCTGCCGAGATGGTGTGCAGGGAGACAAATGCAACATACAGAGGTGAGAACTACAAAAAAACTTAGCTTACCATAGCTGAAAAACATGATCGCAGCAGCTAAAAATCACCTGAACACAACTTAAATGTACTTACACACTTTTGGACCAGTATTAATTTTCGTCTCTTTTTTCAGACGTCAGATCAGAGAGGATTCTGGGAGCCAGACTCCGCTCTGTTTCTGTTACGGCCACAGCAGCAGCTGTTCTGCATCGTCGGGTTACTCCGCCCACAACATCAGCTCCACCTTCCAACATGGTCAGGAAGTGGTGACCTCTTCATAATTAGACAGCTGAGAATGTTTTCAAAATTAAAGCTCAAACTCAACTGTGTCCCTTTGTCTCTGTCCAGGTACCGATGGCTGGACTGTGGCCTCATCTCATGGTGTCAGACCTTCAGATGTTCACTTCCGCTGGTCTCCATCTCATGGAGACTTGGAGGTGATTTCTAAGAACAGTCTGCCAGTTTACCTGTACGCTCCAGGTGAGAAGCCTTCCCACTCTTAGCTTTTGGACCCTCATGTCGTCTCCCCTTCTGTCTCCTAGTTTTCTTTCTGACCAGATGTGTCCTCTTCTGTCCAACAGATCAGTTCCTGGGGAACCATTTGTTCAGTTATGGTCAGAACTTGTCTTTTTCATTGCGTCTGGATCGGGGTGTACGACACCCATCTACCAATGATGTCATCCTGGAGGGGGGGGGGCTGAAAGTCTCCGCCTCCTTGGGTGACTTGCGCTCTATCGTTCCCTGTGGACAGAAAATTCACTACAGTTTCAGGTCAGACACAGACTGACTCAGGCCAGACCTGCCGGCCCACTGCTGCCTCCTGTGGTCACACACAGCATCAGTCTGTTCTCATGTAATGATTTTTTTTGGACAGGTTGGACGAGCAGCCCAGCAGCAGGTGGCGGCCTCAGTTGTCTTCACTACAGTTTCAAACCTTGTTGCAGAACCTGACAGCCATCAAGATCAGGGCCACGTTTGGTGAAAAGGGTTCGTTTTTTCCTCGGCGTCTCATTGGTTGTGTCATTTTACAACACAGTTTCTAAAACACGCGGAACGTCTTTGTCTCCTCAGGACGCGCCTACCTGGACAATGTTCATCTGACTTCAGCACAGCGCAGTAATGGCGTGCCCGCAGCCTGGGTTCGGACCTGCATCTGTCCAAAGGGGTACGAGGGCGAGTTCTGTCAGCACTGCTCAGCCGGCTTCAGACGCCGAGTTCCAGCAGATGGCGCCTTCAGCACCTGTGAACCCTGTAACTGCAGTGGCGGCAGCTGCGACCAGCTCACTGGAGACTGTTACTCTGCTGACGAGACTCACCAGGACCACAGCTGTGCTCAGGGATTCTACCGGGACTTTTGGAAAATCTGCGTCAAGTGTCCTTGTCCACAGGGTGTGTCCTGCTTCCTGCCTGCTGGATCCCTGGAGCCTCAGTGCTACCACTGTCCCATTGGTACCACAGGTAAGACCAAGTACTAACCTCAGCAACGGACTATCAAGGTGTCATTTTGGGAAGCCAACAGTGACAACATCATCCACCTGGTCCTTGAAACCAGTTGTCTAGTTTCTCCTCTGGAAGGAATGCAGAGAGTTAGGCACTAACCCTAACCCTAACCTTAAAGGTCCTTAAAGGGCCGTGACACACCATCAGTCGGTTGTCGGTCTGAAACCAGCAGCTGTTGGTCCACTGCTGCCTGCGGTGGTCAGTTTATGTCACTGTAGTAAAAGCAAATGAATGACTTTTCAGAACGTTATAAAAACACATGGACAGTTGAACTAAGTCTCCTAAAAGACAGACTTCTCTTCCTCTGCTCCTGCAGATGGTGTTCGTTGTCAGTGTAACGGCAGATCTCGTTACTGTTTGTGGGATGATAAGGGTCTGCACTGTGTCGACTGTCAGGGAAACACCGAGGGACGGCACTGTGAGAGCTGTAAGGCTGGCTTCTACCAGCAGGTGGCGGGACAGAGCTGTGTTCCTTGTAGCTGCGACCCCACAGGTGAGACAAGCCAACATGGCTGACCTCGAAGTTTCCCTTCAGTTGCTACCTTTTTGTTGGATCTTGTTTCTCTTTTAGGTTCTGTCAGTAACACATGTGACAGCAGGGGGCGCTGCAGCTGCCGAGATGGTGTGCAGGGAGACAAATGCAACATACAGAGGTGAGAACTACAAAAAAACTTAGCTTACCATAGCTGAAAAACATGATCGCAGCAGCTAAAAATCACCTGAACACAACTTAAATGTACTTACACACTTTTGGACCAGTATTAATTTTCGTCTCTTTTTTCAGACGTCAGATCAGAGAGGATTCTGGGAGCCAGACTCCGCTCTGTTTCTGTTACGGCCACAGCAGCAGCTGTTCTGCATCGTCGGGTTACTCCGCCCACAACATCAGCTCCACCTTCCAACATGGTCAGGAAGTGGTGACCTCTTCATAATTAGACAGCTGAGAATGTTTTCAAAATTAAAGCTCAAACTCAACTGTGTCCCTTTGTCTCTGTCCAGGTACCGATGGCTGGACTGTGGCCTCATCTCATGGTGTCAGACCTTCAGATGTTCACTTCCGCTGGTCTCCATCTCATGGAGACTTGGAGGTGATTTCTAAGAACAGTCTGCCAGTTTACCTGTACGCTCCAGGTGAGAAGCCTTCCCACTCTTAGCTTTTGGACCCTCATGTCGTCTCCCCTTCTGTCTCCTAGTTTTCTTTCTGACCAGATGTGTCCTCTTCTGTCCAACAGATCAGTTCCTGGGGAACCATTTGTTCAGTTATGGTCAGAACTTGTCTTTTTCATTGCGTCTGGATCGGGGTGTACGACACCCATCTACCAATGATGTCATCCTGGAGGGGGGGGGGCTGAAAGTCTCCGCCTCCTTGGGTGACTTGCGCTCTATCGTTCCCTGTGGACAGAAAATTCACTACAGTTTCAGGTCAGACACAGACTGACTCAGGCCAGACCTGCCGGCCCACTGCTGCCTCCTGTGGTCACACACAGCATCAGTCTGTTCTCATGTAATGATTTTTTTTGGACAGGTTGGACGAGCAGCCCAGCAGCAGGTGGCGGCCTCAGTTGTCTTCACTACAGTTTCAAACCTTGTTGCAGAACCTGACAGCCATCAAGATCAGGGCCACGTTTGGTGAAAAGGGTTCGTTTTTTCCTCGGCGTCTCATTGGTTGTGTCATTTTACAACACAGTTTCTAAAACACGCGGAACGTCTTTGTCTCCTCAGGACGCGCCTACCTGGACAATGTTCATCTGACTTCAGCACAGCGCAGTAATGGCGTGCCCGCAGCCTGGGTTCGGACCTGCATCTGTCCAAAGGGGTACGAGGGCGAGTTCTGTCAGCACTGCTCAGCCGGCTTCAGACGCCGAGTTCCAGCAGATGGCGCCTTCAGCACCTGTGAACCCTGTAACTGCAGTGGCGGCAGCTGCGACCAGCTCACTGGAGACTGTTACTCTGCTGACGAGACTCACCAGGACCACAGCTGTGCTCAGGGATTCTACCGGGACTTTTGGAAAATCTGCGTCAAGTGTCCTTGTCCACAGGGTGTGTCCTGCTTCCTGCCTGCTGGATCCCTGGAGCCTCAGTGCTACCACTGTCCCATTGGTACCACAGGTAAGACCAAGTACTAACCTCAGCAACGGACTATCAAGGTGTCATTTTGGGAAGCCAACAGTGACAACATCATCCACCTGGTCCTTGAAACCAGTTGTCTAGTTTCTCCTCTGGAAGGAATGCCCCTGGTTCATGAGGGCATCAAATCTGCCCCTCCTCTAGGTTCCCAGTCCTTTTTGGTTTCTGATAACAGATCATGTGACCAACAACTGCGTTTTCTTCCTTAAACAGGCTGTTGCCTTTGGTCCGACTGAGGCTAGCTAGCTACACGGTCACTACATCCTGTTTACTTGCTTAAATATGTCGTTAGTTCAAGCTAGATAACAACTTGCTGGCTTGCCTACACGTGTTCCTCAGGTCCCAACTGTAACATCTGTCAGGAAGGTTACTACGGCACCCCCTGCAGACCATGCCAGTGTAATGGTCACATTGACATCAGTGTGGCAGGAAGCTGTGACCAACAGAGTGGCGAGTGTCTGAAGTGCATGAACAACACTAGAGGGCAACACTGCGAGATGTGTCTAAATGGATTCTACCACAACCGAGCAACTGACGTCTGCAAACGTAAGGAAACAGGAAATGATGTCATTGCTACAGTCAGTGACAGTGGCATAGTTCCAGGAAACTGATATGTTTTCAACCCTTCACTGTCAAACCAAAGTCCATGGAGAAAATGTATGATTTATGCTAACAGAGACACAGGAGCTGCTGATCCACTGCTGCCTCCTGTGGTCAGTTTGTATCACTGCAATCAATCCAAACAAAGGATTTCAACAATGAAGTTACAAATGAACACCTTTGAACTTGGCTAGAGACAACAGTGGATCAACATAGGCTAACGAGGCGTTAGCTAAAATCACTAGGCTGTTGTTGTAAACCTGTTTCTATCTTTAGAATTATTTACTTACTAATGTTTTCATTTCTCAGCCTGTAACTGTGACTTTCACGGTTCAGAGTCTCGTCAGTGTGACGACTTTGGCCTCTGTCGCTGCCGGGCGGGGTTCGAGGGCGACAGATGTCAGCGGCTCAGCTGCCCGTCCTGCTTCAGCCCCATTAAAACACAGGTATGACCAGAGGTCACAGGGGTTCTTTCCTGTTCCTTCAAATGTTCAGAGGTTCTTCTGAGGACTGACTGCTGGTGCGAATCTCTTCTCTGACTCAGGTGGACAGTTTGTCTGACAGGCTGAAGCAGTTGGAGACTCGAGCTGCACAACTGGACGGAGGTTGGACGTCGGATGCGACGGAGGCCGCGGTGAAAGCAGCAGAGCAGCTGCTGAACAAACTGGAGGACAACAGCGGGGAGCTGAGAGGTGATGCATTCACAGCAGCACCTGCTGGAGCATCTAGGGAATGCATGCAACAACCATATCAAGAAAGACAAAGATAAGACATCTTGTCATGACATCACACCCTTTTGTGCCCAATAGAAATAGAGAAGAACCTGCAGGGCCGCCTGTCGACCATCAGCAGGGGTCAGCTGCTGGAGGGCCAGAACCTCCAGAACTTAGACAGTGATGTGGACGTCCTCAGACTGAAGCAGGAGAAGCTGAACGCGGAGGAGGCGGAAGTTCTGACGCTACTGACGGAGATGAGACGTAAACTGGACGAAGCCAAATCCAAACTCAACCTTATAGTGAGAGGACATCCCTGAGTCATCACTGTCTGAGCCGTGAGCGCCCCCTGCTGCCGCAACCGGCTTCAGCCACTGTGGCTGAGTTTCAAGGCTAACGCAGCAGCAGGTGGCGCTAACACTCAGCAGCGTGATATAACTGACTTCTGTGTCCTCCCTGTTGTTGTTCTAGGAGTTTCCTGCGGGAGACGCTGTTCCTTCTTCAGGCATTTTCTCATCTCTTCTGAAAACAGCAAAACATCTGGCTGATAGGTTGGTCACCACATAGAACTCCACGCTTCTCACTGTTCCTCCACCTCTAATCGAGCATGCTTGACTCCTCCTCCAACAGCAGCTGTTCCCTCCTCTTTTCCTTTCCTTCTTTTTTATTGGTTAATCCTTTAATGACTCCTTTTTCTTCAATGAATTCTTCTCCAGTTTGTCCTTCTGTATTTCCTCCTCCTCTCACCCCCATCTCCTCTGACTCCTCTCTCTGTATCCTCCAGACACCAGGGCACAGCAGACACGGTGGAGGAAACTAGCGACTCTGCTCTGAAGGACTCAGAGCAGAGTCTGGTTCTGGTCCGAGCTCTGATGAACAGGGAGCAGAAGGTCCAAAAGCAGATCACAGACCTGGAGACCCTGTAAGAACGTTCTCCTCCTCCTTCGTCTCTTCCTTCAAACAAAACATCAGGACTCACCTTTTTTATTTTTGTCTCAGGTTGGACCAGATCTCAGGTGGGGTGGGGTCTCTGAAGAACCAGGCGGTCAATGTGAGCAATCAGGCCAAAGAGGAGAGCAGGAGGTCAGAAGACCTGCTGAAAAGGATCGCCAAGATAAACCTCCCCACATCTCTTAGGGTAACAACACTGCTGCACACCTCCCCTCCTGCTCCTGCCCCCTGAACAACACTAATTCAACCCCACCTTCTCCTATGATGCACAGGAACAAGTGGTTGCCATGGTTTCCAGTAAGGACAGTCTGAAGAAGGATTTGGACCAGGATGTGTCAGACTTTGAGGTGCTGCAGGACAGAGTCCAACGGAACGTGGCAGCAGGTCAAGACCTGTTAGACCAGGGCAAAGCGGCACAGCAGGTAACACACACACACACACACACACACACACAAACAAGAGACATCACCACAGCAAACATCACTAAGAAATCTGAATCTGAATTCAGAACCTGTGGATCAAAGTCCAGTCCTGTCAAATTCATGGAGTACATTTTCATCCACTTTAATCTGCTGAGAATTTCTGCAGGACGGTGCAGCAGTGGACGCAGACAAACGTTCATTTTCCTACCTGAAAGTCACTGGATGTACTTTGGTAAATTGGACTTCTAATCCAATCAGATCACTCAAATCACCAAAGTAACTGTAGGCCTTGGTGATGCCAACTCCAAATCTGATTGGTTAAAGAAACAATCTCAGTCCCATTCATTTTAGGCTCCCAGCATCTGAGGGAAGATTTAGTCCACCCTGGCAACAGATGAGGCTGAAATATGATTGGATAACAAAAACTGGGGTATAAATATACACAGTGGAAGCAGCGCTACCTAAAGGAAGTTGATGAGAACAGACCACTGTGGATTCATTTAAAAATATTCACCATCAATATAGTCAAACATAAGTCACTGATTCTGGTACTGTTTACGCCAAGCAGGAGGCGCTATTAAAAAAATACACCATAACTACATTTTTCCCAGGATGCCAAAGAGCTGGTGGAGCGAGTGGGCGTGGCTGAAGTCCAGACAGAGGACGCACTTCTCCGCATTAACAGCAGCACAAAAGAGCTGGAAGATAAACTGAAGGAGCTCAGAGGTGAGGAACCGAGTCACAGAACTGATCGTGAACAGGTCACTGTACTGAACTGATGTGGTTCGCCTCAGGCTTCGACAAACAAATGAACCACAGCAGAGCGTTAGCCGACGTCACCATCGCTCGTCTGCCTGAAATCAACGCCACCATTCAGGAAGCCATTAGCGACAACACAGACACACTGTCTGTGCTGGGAAACGTGGGGTCTGACTACAATGATGCTCTGGGCCTCATGGGGGAGCTACAGAGCCTGGTCACTGGTCTAGAGGTAGGACATGCACGCTAGCCCCACTAACGTAGGCCAGAGCCAACATAATGCAACTGTTACTGGACTTTTCTCCTGTAGGGAATGTTGGGAACGTTGCCACCTTATGGCGACCTTGTAAGCGATGCCACAAAATTAAACACGACAGCAAAGGAACTAGAGACAGAAGCAGCTGACCTGAGCAAAACCATCAAACGAGAGCTCCACCATGCACAGAAGACAGAGGGCGACGCCGAGCAGGTAAAGAGTTAGCATGGTGGCAGAACTCTCAACTCCAAAACTCTAAGAAAAAAATGTAAGTAATGCTACTGTGCCCCCTGCAGGTAGCGCTCAATGTTGCAGCAGCTGCCAAAAATGCAAAGCAAGCAACAGATGCTGTCGGACGGACACTACGGGACATCAATGCCCTGCTGGACAACCTGGGTAAGACACTGGAATTTGCTTGCGTGCTAAAAGAATGTATATTTTGTTATAGTTCTGTTGTAAATCTAGCAAGCTAACAAGTTAGCAATCTTCACAACTGGTGCGACTAATGCTTAGAACTGTGTGTCAACATGTTTTTTGAATACAGATGTTAGCTTAGCCTCATCACCTGTGGACTGGTTAGTGGAGATAAGGAAGTAGAATACTCAATCACAGCAAGCACCGAACAAGAGTAGTAAACTTAGCAACAAACCTTTACCATAGAAGTCAACATTGTTCATAATGTTAGCAACGCCGACAGCTCAACATTTTTTTAGCTTTTCTCAAATACGTTATTTCAATTTCAAAACAAAATCATTTATGTTGATCACTTAAATTATATTAAAGTTATTTGTAATGATGTGATGATGACATCAGAGTCAGCTGACGAGGTGTCCTAAAAATCACACGTCTTCCGCCATAACTTAGCTCCTCCCACACCCTCCTCCCTCTGCAGACAAGCCCGGTGCTACTGTGGACGAGGACCGCCTCAGACAGCTAGAGGAGGCGCTAGCTAAAGCCCAGGTGGAGGTGGACAGCAGTCTGCGTCCTCGTCTGCAGGACATGGAGCAGCAGGAGAACGCTATGCGCCGACACCTGGTTGCTGTCAACGTGGACATCAACAACATCCAATGGGACATCACCAACCTGGAGGACATTCTGAACACTGTCCCATCTGGATGTTTCAACAGCCAGCCCATAGAGGCGCCCTGAGGTCACGTGACTTTAAAGGTCACCATGGTGGTGTGAACAGGGGGAGGAAGTGATGTCGCTGTTGGCTTTTCTTTTCTCTCTATATATCGACAGAATAAAAATGTTACTTATTCACTAACCTAGGGTAGAATTATATAAACATGGATCACAATCACCAGAACTCCAATCAACTGGATTCAAACAGAACAACAGCAGACACACAGGGCAGAAGAAGAAGAATGGGCCGAGGCCAAACGCTGGTCCACACCAGGAACAGACGTCATTGTTGGACCACATATTAGCTCTTCAACAGGGATACAAGAAGAACACTTTGATCCAGGTCAACCTGGCCAAAGTTGACCTTTAACCTTTCAGTAGCAAGTCATTCGAAGATGGTGACGATGGAAAAAACACAAACAATCAAACAAACTGTTTGATTAAAAAAAAGGAAATCAAAAAGACTTTGACTGAAAATGCTCCTGAGTCAAAGACTGGGATTGGTTTGGAATATTTTCTGGGTCTTTTTTTGTTGTGAATTTACTGTCTGTTATGATAACCACAATGATAATGATGATGATGATGATGAAGATGATGAAGATAAAATCAAAACGATGATAAATGTTGTTCATGGTCTGTGTCTCAACATCTCAATAAACCCATGAACTGCTGTAATTAAAGGCCCCAGTGAATACGACGGTTAGCTCAGCACCAACAAGACAAGAAAGGATAGTGTTTGAACCAGGAGAGAACCACCACCATGACATATCTACAGTCCTCATCTTGGATTGGATTATTAATTCCTCTTATATTGTAGCTGATAAGGTTTAGATTAATCATTGGTTCTATTTAATTCAGGGGTGTAACCTTTTCTCTTTATGTGTACCAGTACCATACCATACCAGAACGTATTAACAATATTACATTTTGGTCAACAACATATGTCAGGGAGAACAAGAACATAACAATAATAAACAGAACTTCCATCTTACCACTCGCCCACAGTTGTTTAACTGTGTTCAGTGCCCGTTGTAATTGGAACAGAGAGGTGTGGCCTAACCTCTGTGGAAAAAACTGCACATAAATGACATAAATGATTACATAAAAGTGCAGAGTCCAGCTGTCCACCCGTTTGTCCAGTCTCCGTCTGTAGTTCACCTTAACACCTGTAAGTTTGTTACAACAAATTTTGTTATCAGATCAAATGCTCTTTAGTGTTCAGCAAATCGTGTTTTTGTAAAAGGATATTTAGATCGGATGGTGAGCGCGGCCATTCTCTTCCTTTTGTCTGCATTTCGCCATTCCTCTTTCAGCTCTTCTTGGTCTCCACTTTCCACTTCATTTCCCAGCTTCTTGAGTGTTCGTGCTGCCTTGGTTAGTGTGGTAAAGGTCGTCTCTCCAGTATCCATTTTGATTTTTAGTTGCGCTGGATACACACATTTTGCTTGTATATCTTTCTTCTTGAGTTGTTTTATGACTTCATATCTCGTCACCATTACCAGATCATCAGATCTGGTGAAAAATCTTGGTCAAGGAAGATCCTCTTGGTCTTGAAGAACACGTGTTTCTGGCTCCAGGCTCTTTTTATAATCTCATCTTTAGTTGCTGCATTTACAAATCTCACAATGATTGATCTGGGGGGCGCTGGTGCCTCTTTGGGTTTAAATCCAATTTATCTATGTGCCCTCTCCATCTCGATATTTAATTCTGCTGGTAAATCAAGGGTGTTTTGACAACCTTTTGATAAACCCTCTATAATCCGGAATATGCGAATATTGCTTCTTCTCAGTCTGTTCTGGAGTTCTTCACATCTAGCTGAGAGCTCAGCTTCACGATGAATCAAACATCTCAGTGCTCTGTGGTGTTGCACCGTCGTTTCTTCTAACGCACTGGTTCTATCTTCATGGCTAGCGGACGAACTTTGTAGTTCGAGTTTCTTCTTCCTTTTATCTCTCTTGATCTTTCTTATTCGTGTTTACGTTTACGAAATACGTTTAATAGGAACGGTCTTACCTAATTTTTGACGTGGTTTAACATAGTTTTAACTTATCTTTTCAAAATCTTTCGACGGAGCTTTGCCTCTTAGTTGTCGGCCGTATTATGACGTCACCGGAAGTCAATAGTGGACTTTTTAACAAACGCAGGAACATTAGTGGACTTTTTAACAAACGCAGTAACATTAGCGGACATTTTAGTGGACGGGATTCCTAATGTCGTGTAAAGAAAGTCTTTCCATCCTCTATTCTCCATAATGTCTAACGATCCGCGTCCGCTGCCCCGATCACTCAGTCACTGTCGTGGTGTTTGGCGGCTTCCCTTTTACGTCAGAGTTCATATGACGCCGCCCTGTATGGCACCATGTCACCGGTAATAAGTCCCTCTTTTTAGGCAGCGGTCCATTTGTTCAGAGCTTCGCAAACAGATCTATCGACCCGTGGTTTTTGATTTGGGAAACTGTAGAACCTGTACAAACGATATCATCTGTAGGCTTAGCAATGGAATCCGTCACCACTTCCGCAAACAATCTTACGCCGTCTCCGGAGCTAGGCCGGGTGTCCAGAAGCTGAATGTTGGCCGGATACATGGCAACCGTGGTCGGTGGGCACTCTGCCGAAATTTGTTTCGGATTCAACTTCTTCTTCCATTTTTTTTTTTGCGCATCGCTGCAGAGGTCTTCTTCCTGCGCTGTGGTCACAATCCCGAAGGATCTTCTTCGGTCGTGTGGAGCAGTCTTCATGCGCAAAACCAGAAAAAAGGCGAGCGTCAGAAGAGTTGGTATGTGATGATGGTGCGGGACGATGTACAAAATGGTTAAAAAATAAAGCAGTTGCGTCGGCGTCTGGAAAACCCACGCCATCTTCTTTCGGAAGTTGACAAGATCTATCAGTGAACGAAAGAAAAAATAAAAGACAGGCGAGACACGAGTGTAAGGGGTGGACACACATACTTCTGGCCACGCCCCCAGGACTCTTCTAAATCCAACATGGATTTCCTTCATCATTTTCTTCTTTATTGTTTTTGTTGAAACACAGTCAGCAGACCGAAGAACGTTCATGCCAGAAGAGTGAGCATGCAGAAAAACAACAACAACAAAAACCACAACAACAAAAACCACAAGAGTTTCACTAATGAATCATAGAAAAGTCTTTGCAGCGCCACCTACAGTTCGGACGCCAGACTCAGGCTGCAAACAATCTGAGGGCAAACAGCCAATCAGAGCAGTGTTTCTGTTTCTCTTCTAAGACAGGGCCACTGTGCACCAACACACACACACACTCTAGCGCGCACACACTCACACCTAGACAGACATACACAGTCACACACACACACTGGGTGCAGAAGGTGCAGTTCCTGCCCTATCCTGAAGCAGTGATGTAGAGCTGACTCTGCAGGATGTAATCGATGACGGGCTGACTCAGATATTCCACCACATGACCGTCACCGTGCTGCAGAGCCAATCTGTTGACACACAGATCACATGACCCATAATCACTTCCTGTGACTTTAAATGTCCGTCCTGTTCACATTTCACACACACATCATTCTAATATATACAGAATATATTCATATATATGCCATTCACCTGCTCTTGGTGGAGCTGACGATGGACATGGGGTAGGAGGTGGCGTCCTTCACCACCAGGATGTTTTCCTGAAAAGACAACAAACACCATTAAAAACAACAGACTCCAAACACTCAACTCCTGTCTCTGACCTTTGACCTTTCATCCACATTTCACACCAGAAAATGTCCTCAGAGCAACAGATTCTCTGTCAAACACAGAGGAAAGTACAAACAGTAGGGGGCAGTAGATATGCTGGTAAAGAGTGTCTGAGCGCGTTAGCTAGCCTAGCCTAGACTTAGTGAATACTTTTTTACTTAATTTTATCCATTTAGCTGAGGCTTTTATCCAAACTGACTTACAAGAAGAGAAATAACAATCAGGCTGCAAAGAGGAACTCCACCACTAGGAGACCACGAGTTAGGAAACTGGGACTTCATTAACTAGGGTGAGAGTGCAGAAGAGGAGACAAGGGCAGAAAGAGAAGACAGGAAGTGCTCCCTGAAGATAAAAGGCTACAAGATGTCAGTCGGTAACCAGCTGAAAAGTTCTGAGCCAGTTATATAAAACAATACATCAGCATTAGCATCAGCACTAGTATTAGCATCAGCATTAGCAATACATTAATGTGAGACAAAACACACACACACCTTGTACTTGCGGAGAACAGCTGATTGGTTCATGATTCTCTCAGTGTCGGCTCCATCACGAGGGACAACCACCATCCCAAAATCTCCAACGATCACCTCCATCTAAAACAACAGACATGACGTCATATGACTGTCTGAGTCAGTGGTTCTGAGTCTGTGACTAAAAGATGCTTACGTCGCTGTCCTTCCACAGTCCAGGGATGCAGAAAGACTCCAGGAGGTCACTACCACAGAGGAGGAGGATACGTAACTCTACAAACAAGGATAAAGACATACCTACTGTAAACTACTTCCTGTTGACTGTTAACAACTTCCTGTTGACTGGATAAAAACTAAATGACTGACAAACAGAAGTTCAGGAGCCCAACTCACCGATCTCCTCGTACCTCACAGTCGTACCCAGGTTTGCATTTTCATCTGAGTGACACAGAAACAGTCAGAAGAGCGCCACCATCAGGACTCAGGTCCTTAGTCCTATCATTAATCCTTATTCATCAATATCTCTAGAGCTAGAGTGCCTACTACTGATGTTCTGTGGCGTTACTAAGCTAACGTTCGCTAAAACAAAGAAACTCACCAACGAAGGTGAAACGGTCGATGTGAGGACGAACACAACAGATCTTCCCCAAACTCTCACTCAGCTTCCCCCAGACTTTGACTGGAGAAAACAACAGAAGAAGATATGAAGGTTTTCAAAGTAAAGGTCACTGTCACTGCTGTAAAGGTCGTTGTCTAAACCAGTGATATACCTCTAAACTTAAACATCGAGATGTACGAGCAAAACCCCTGCTCTGGTTGTTTGTTCTTGTTTTTAGTAACAAGAACAAACAACTTGTGTGTAAATCTAGCTTTCATCCATCCATCATCCATCATCCATCATCCATCCATCTATCATCCATCTATCATCCATCCATCCATCATCCATCATCCATCATCCATCATGCATCATCCATCATACATCATCCATCATCCATCAATCATCCATCCATCATCCATCCATCCATCGTAACAGTCTGTATCCTCAGCAGTAGGTGGCAGTAGAAGCTGATAACTTTACCTGCAGTGGGCTTGTGATTCATGCTGTTGCGGTTCTGGTAGATGGGTGGAGTCTGGTTCTGTGGCTGACCAATCACAGGCGTGCTGGATGGTGTGTTTACATTGGACAGAATACAACCTGTCACTCTCTGATAGGAAATAAAAAGTCTGTGATCAGATCAAACAATCAACAACTGTCGCTTATCAGATTCTATTGATTTCTTTTTAAACTGTAAATATTTTCAATGAACTGGAAACAGGAAGTGACCTCACCTTCATGAGGTCTCTGTGATGCTCCAGAACACTGCAGGTCGTCTGCCATGTCTCCTGGTAACACTCCCACGGGTCCACTCTGGAACACACACACACAAAAGAAAACAGGTAAATACCTTCACAATCAAAGTCTGGGCCAGTAAAACTACTGAAACAGGAAGAGGGCGGGTCCTCACCTGATCCAGTCGGAGGATTGGACGGCCAGCTGACACATGGTCAGACGATGTCTGCTGGACACCAGACCCTGAGGACAAACACCACCATGTGATCAGCCCAGCAGAGCCCACTCTATAGCACTACTAGTGGTGAGGTTTGACTCCCACACTGACAGCACTCTCAGATGGACACGTTTAAGGTCCACAGTCCTCAGCTTTTACCCCACTGTCAAACGTCACGACCCATGAAGATGGAGTCAACAGTCCACCAGAGCAACCAGAGGCGTTGGTTGATTCTACAGCAGCCTCACTGTGTAACACACTGGACTCTTCCCTAAAACTGCCATCATGTAAATGAGACAGCAGGTGGCGCTCTACAGGTGTTGAAGTGTTTAAACAACTTCAGGACAGGTGTAATTGGTCACTTGTATAAAAGGCACCGTGAGTTCTTATTCAGTCCAGTAGGCACTGGTCCACTGCTCTGTTCAAGCATCTGTCCCACTTTATGGACTGCATCATTAATGGACAACATGAACGGACATGAGGACAGGAAGTCTTCGATCACTAAACTGTACAGACGTGTCTTCACCAACAGCCCAGCTCCCCAGCTTTAGAACCAGCTGCCAGTCTGGGTTCAGGAGGCTGACAACAACAAAAAGTTGCTCACTTACTGGTTTCCCATACGAGTCGTGCACCGGTGAGATGATTCCTCCGATCACGATGAAGCGTCCAGTTTTGTCCAGGAACTCTTTGGCTTTCTCTGCACACACACACACACACACACACACACAAATCAGAAAGGACAATAGTCAGAATTAAACCACTAGAGGTGTATGTGAGCTGCGGAGAAGATCGGAGGAAACTGTAAGAACCTAAGAATGTTCACGGAGAAAAGAACTAAAGAAGTCATTCACATTTTCTAACATCTTCTCCAAGAGGATTCTTCTGACATGAGTCCACGCTAGTCCACACAAGTCTACGCTAGTCCACGCTAGTCCACACAAGTCCACGCTAGTCCACACTAGTCCACACTAGTCCACACTAGTCCACGCTAGTCCACACTAGTCCACACTAGTCCACGCTAGTCCACACAAGTCCACGCTAGTCCACACTAGTCCACACTAGTCCACGCTAGTCCACGCTAGTCCACACTAGTCCACACAAGTCCACGCTAGTCCACACTAGTCCACACAAGTCCACGCTAGTCCACACTAGTCCACGCTAGTCCACACAAGTCCACGCTAGTCCACGCTAGTCCACGCTAGTCCACACTAGTCCACACTAGTCCACACAAGTCCACGCTAGTCCACACTAGTCCACACTAGTCCACACTAGTCCACACTAGTCCACGTTAGGGTGTGTAGGCTTCAGCTGATGAAGGATGCAGCCAAAGAACGAGACACAGGCCACGAAGCTGTGACGCATTTGAGCAGCACCGACCTGAAACCACTGAGACTCAGACCAAACCGCCAACTGCTCCTTTAATCCCTGACAAGTCGTTTTAAGCAACATGACAAAAATGGCTGCGAGTGTTTGCGGTTCTGAATCTTCAGAATCCAAGAGAACTCCTCCACAACTGGAGGTTTAGACGCAGAGACGCACGAGCCTGAAGGTTCTTGAAGAACCCGGAGGCTGCTGCAGGTTCCGGATCTTTCCTTTTGATTTTTTTCGTCATAAATGTAAGGATCCGGTTCTCTTCTGTTTTGTGCGCAATTTTGCCGTCGCCCTTTTTTCAGCACCGCCCTGCTGGACAGCGCCTCGCGCACATGCACACGCACACTCACCGAACATATGTATGTGTCCTTTGGTGATGGGGTTGAAGCTGCCGCACGACAGCAGGATGACGTGGGTTTTACTGGACTCCGTCATGACTCCGAAAGTCCAGAGTTCTGCTCCCGGTCTTGCTGCTGCTCCAGGTCTTGGGATGTGCGGTTCTGCGGCGGGTTTGTTTGTGTGTCCGCAGAGAAGAAAAACGGAGGGGGAGGGTCTGCAGCCGGAAACGTCATCATCTTAAAGAGACAAACGCACGGAAGCAACGCATACGTCACCACCGCTGTACCGCACCTCCACCTCCAAAGGGAGGAACCTGAACGAACCAAAGATGAAGTCAGATCATAGAGCAGATCTAAGTTGAACCAGACCTAATCAATCAAACCGGGATGATTATGGACTCTGGAACCCTGGACCGTCAGTAAACCAGGCATACAGGGTCTGTGGTACTGCACGGTGAGCAGGTCAACAGTCGGGTTTAAGTAATCCTGGATCACACCAGTTTAGGCTTCAACAAATCAGGTTCATATTAGAAACTTGGGCTGAGACTGGACGTCATTTAATGAATGGGGTCAAAGTTCACATATGTGAATCCTCTCTTCAATACGGTGTCCACTGAGGACCAGAGCTGACGTCACAACGTCAATTTTGTTTGTTCAGCCCAAATTCACAAAACACATTGGTCACATGATCAGAGACAAACAGGGATTTTTATTCTTCGGGAACATGACGAGAACAAACATGGCAACACAGTCACGTGACCGAGATGAAAGGGTTCCATTTTAACACAGAGAACATCAACGAACACACGGGTCTGTTGTTGAGAGTCAAAAGAAATAGCTGAGTCATCACAAACAGATGATACGCCTGCACTTTCTCTGAAGACCACCGGGGGGAGCTGTGAGCTCTCCAACACGACTGTTAAACAGCAGTCACTCAGTGGCTAGCATTGTGTGCGTGTGAGTCAGGTTCCCAAAAGAATTCCAGAGAACCATGAATCCTGTAGAACACTGATGGAGGAACCGGTACCGTTGTCCACAAATACAGAGACATATTGTCCGACCTGAAACACACACACAAATAAACAAGGTACCAGTTCATGTAGTTCAAGGTAGAGTGTTCTCCAGGTGGAGGAGGGGTCACACAGGGGAGCGGCGGGGTCGGAGTCACTAATGTTAGCCGGTTATAAATGTGTTGTTAGCATGTTGTGGGTTAGCTGTTAGCATGTTGTGGGTTAGCTGTTAGCATGTTGTGTGCACCTTTTTTACCTGTAGATACAGTGTTCCTGTTAGAAGGACGGTAAATGTTCCTCCAGCGACAGTCACGCTGGTCACTGACTCTACAGAGCTAACAGACGGGTTCATTTAGCTGAGATTATAGTCAGGATTAAAACAAGCCAGGTTTAAATCTAAGTTAACTCCAGTTTTACTCACAGGTTGTTCTGACAGAGGGACTGGACGCAGACGGACGTTTTCACGCTGTCTTTTAGACGAAGCTGGAGACGATCACCTGACTCTGAGACACACACACAGTGACACACGTTAACATGGATGAGCATAAATGAGCTGAACAGGAGCTATGTTCTGATTGGCTGTGGTTCAGCGGCTCTCACCTATCAGCAGACTGCAGGTCAGCTGATAAAACCCGGACTCTGGGGCCGTGAAACGTCCACTGCCGCTCTCGAAGCCACGCCCCCTCTGGCTGTGCTGAGAGTTGGACACCTAAACAAATCCGACGATGATCCGTCAACACATCATCTAAAGAGAGGAGGCGCACAGTGCATCATGGGAAAGCATATATGTCAGACCTCTCCAAAAGGCTGCAATTCCACCAGGCTGCGGCGCTGGACGTTGATTGGCTGTAGGAGGCGACTGAAGAAGAAAGCTGAGACTTGAGGCCGATCACACGGTGAACAAGCGCCACCTATATGTGAGGTTACAAACACAAGAGGACATGAGAGTTTGACGACCAGAGTGAAGAAGGTCAAAGGTCTTTGACTGAACCCCAGCCTCAGTCCCTCCAGACCCGGTCTAACACCCAGTACTTTATAAAAAACACACTGTTACTATAACTGCTTGTACTACACACACACACACACACACACACACACACACACACAGAGAGAGAGAGCGTTCCAAAACAGCAGTCAACAAAAACTACAGCTAGCGTAGCGCCCCCTCTCTGCAACACTCCCATGTACCGCCACACTGCGCCTGACAACCAGACAAACAAATCAAAACTAAAATAATGGATCTGTGATGCAACATAAGGCTCCGTCACACAGACTGGTACGGAGCTCCGTGGTTCTTCACCTCTCAGTCTCAGCTGCAGCTCCTGGATCAGGTCCTCTTGCTGTGGGAGAGGAGGGCCTGGGGATCCTGGAGGCCCCTGTGGTCCAGGAAGTCCTGGAGGTCCTGGGAGACCATGCTGCACAGATTTAGAGACGTGTTAGCTTGTAGGCCACCAACCCCTCCTGACTTCCTGTTGAGGTTGTGGTCTCTGACCTTGGCGGATCGTCTGGACCCGCGATTCCTCCGGTTCTCACCCTTGTTGGAATTTTTCCTGAAAATCCTCCACGAGCTCTGTGGGGACATGCTGGACAAGTCTGGTAATGGTGCCCCCTGGAGGACACACATAAACTTTGCAAATCACAAACTCATAGTACCTGGACTGAGCAGGTCCAGATGAAGAACCTGAAGATATTAAAGTAAAGACGAGTCTCAGAGGGTCAGGGTTATTGACGAGTCACAGACTGAGTCACAGACTGAGGCACAGACTGAGGCACAGACTGAGACACAGACTGAGGCACAGACTGAGTCACAGACTGAGTCACAGACTGTGTTCCTCCTCACCTCAGAACTGACAGTTTCATCCTCGTCCAGAATCTCTTCACTGTTCTCACTGTCCATGTCATCAGCATTTGCTGACTCCACCATCATCATCATCATCATCATCATCATCATCATCATCATCATCATCGTGGGTTGCAGCCCTCGGGCTCTGCCCCCTGACCTCATGTTCTAAAAAACCCTAGTCCAGTTGCTGGGTCAGGAGGACATGGAGGAGGGAGATGTTCAGCTGTGTCTTCAACCACTCACAACATCCCCATGATGCAACGCTGCAGCTCTACGTGTCTCACATGAACCAAATAAGCCTGTGTGGTCTTCGTCCGTCTCCTTCTCTGCTTTTGTATCCGTCTCCTAGCCCCTCCCTCTGATTGGCCCCCGTCTTCTTCTGTCCTCAGCCTTAACTTCTGTCAGTCAAATACACACAATGGCCACACCGCCCCACCACACCACCCCCCACACCAAG